CTTGGAGGAGAAAAGAGAAAGACTAGTTTGAAAACTACAGCCTTGTGGAGGTGGGAGGAACGTCCTCATTTGACATCATGATTCAGGAACAAGAGATGAATCTGTGCATGTTTTTCTGTCTGTCCCAAGTTGTATCTAATATTGACCATCCACTGGCTATGTCTGATTTGCAAGGGTTTTCATTCTTGCTGCTATGATTTGACTAATATTTTGTTTGCATTGTCTTTCTACTTTTTGTATGAAGCAAAGTGAGGGGGCAAGTTGGGAATTAGGATGCCATTACAGATATCAGAGTGTGAAACACAGCAGATCTGCCCCATCGGCAAAGTCCCACAGGAGTTGTTTTCTACAAGCTGCATTGAAACGAGCTTCATTAAGCTCTGATTCATTTTGAGAAGGCTTGTGCAGGAGAAATCCTTGCTTGGATTGTGCTCCACAATAATTGGTACACATGAAGTTATGATTAGATGCACCACTTCAGATATTACTCTCTTTTGGACCATCTCATTTCACTAATGCTTCCACATCTATCTTTAAAATTACATTAGCATTCATATTAATTTGAGATAAAACTTATTGTGAGGATTATTGTGTGCTACTCTTACTTCTATTTTTATTCTATTTTGTTGTTGTTGTTATGAACTGTCTTGAGACATCTATGATGGGACAGCATACAAAAGTTTTAAATAAATACATATAAATAAAATGTTATTCAGAGGAGGCTGTAGGGCATGGTTATTGAACCCCAGCCTGGGAACCAATTGCATTCCTCCAAATGGACACTTCAGCATTTTGGCAATTTCCCACCTTTTGCACAGTTTTCCCCCATTGCAAAAGATTGAAATGCCTCTCCTGAGGCTCAGTCACTGGCTGTTAGAACTTTAAGCTAAAATAAAGGGTGGGCCAAAAGTAGGCATACAGTCCCAATTGGGTCATGGAGTACCTCACACAGTGGATAAATTGAAGGAAAGCCGCTTGCAAGCATTTATGGACATTGGTGCTAACTGGAATTTCTGTCACAGTGATGGGGACAGGTTCCAGGAATGTTGCAGTGTTGATGGAGGACTTTTTGAGCACCTAAGAGACTAAGCATGATGTACTTTCGGCCCACTCTGTATGTTTGCAGTTTTGCATTCTGGCTCCACCCCTTTTGCTTTTAGCCTGCTATATGGTTACTTTTCCCAATGTGGTACCCTGCAGAGATTTGTGACTACAACCCCTTAGCCCTATCCAGGAAGGACAGTGGAAAACAGTAATCTTCCAATCAGGTAAGATTGGAGTTGCAGTTCAAGGCATTTGAAAGTCAGAGAAGACTGCTTCAGGGAGAAAATATACCAGATCTAAAAAAAGCTACAGAGTATTTAATTGTTAGTATTAGGCTAACAGGAGGCAAGAAAGAACAAACTGACTTCAGCAGGGAAGCAGAGAAACTGTATGTTTGATGTCCAGGATGTTCCTGGAAAATGCTATTTATTGCTTTGTTCCTTTTGGAATGATAAAAAGTTTGGGAGACACTGCTTGACATTCACAATTCACCTCTGTTTTGCAGTTAAGTTTGCCAAATGCCTGCCAAGAATTCTGCAGCATACTGAGAATATCCCCAGGCTTACAACACATGGCCTATGAGGCATACCTAGGGACAGACAAATTTGTCAAGAGTGATTCCACTGGGTCTCTCATTTTTCCAACATAATGTTTCTTTTGCCCTGCTTTCATATCAGTTTGCAATTACCCCCTAAAAAGTCTGCAGGCAAATTCATATGCATGCTGCATACATTCCTCCTAATGTATGTATTTTGAATACATTTTTCCAAATAAATAATTTCTTCTAAGTAATTTCCCCTAATATAATTTATATGCTTTTCAAATGCTTCCCCCACCAAAAATATGTGCAAGGCTGTGCACATTTTTTGATTGTGAAATGTATCACAAAATTTAGTGAAGTATGACTATTCCTATTCATGTATACATTTAGCAAGTGACAGGGAAATTTGCATCAAATCCCAAATCCAACTGATTTCTCACACACCCTTAGGTGTGCACTTCCTGGTAACTTACTCTTTTGTCAATGAAATCATGGGTGGCTATGGCAACAATAGCTGCTAGATTTGGGTGAATATGAATTCCAATGCAGCAGATTCAGATGAACTTCAGATCCCAAGCAGAAGCAGACAAATTTATTCCAATTGTTTGGGTTCTGAGTTGAAACAGAGCTTCCTAGAGAAACAACAGAACCACACCCAGTCAGAATAAGGATTCTGTGACTCACATTTCAGATACATGCCATGTTGTACAGATTTTCTTTCTTCCAAAATAAATACACAAACCATGGCTTTCCTATTTAGATTCAGCTATCAATGCTGCAAGAGGAGGGGAAATTATGGATGGGTGCTGAAAGCTCCACCTTCTAATAGTAGGTCAAATTTTACCATGGGATCTAATCACTCTGCTTTGTGGAAGGGCATGGCTAGGATCGTGAGACGGACATTTTTCCAGTGCCACCAGACATCATTATGAAAAAGCTTTAAACTGGTTTCCAAGCATCATAGCTCTTTAATCCCTGAGCATAATCTTTGGAAACTTGGCAGATGTTTTTCTTGGGGACATTTCTAAGATGTATGACATTTTCATATGAATTAGCTAGAAAAAACATAGGGGGATGGAAGAAGTAAATCATCTCAACCCAAATTGGAGAGCTTCCATTCAACATGTATTGTTATACCTATCCTTCTGAAATGTGTCAGGTTTAGTCCTTAGGGACACCTCTAGGATACCAATAATATTTATAGCAGTGGTCAACAGGGTACATAATAAGCATGCCCCCCCTCCCCTTTTGTATCAAGGCACACAACATTCTGTGGCTATCCCAAAATTTGGCAGGCTTGATTCCCTCAGCAACAGAAACTGTCCCTAGAATTCTCATTGAATTCTGTCCAGAGATGAATTCTCCCCACTTGTTAAAAAATTAAAATATGATGACATATAACAGAAAAATCTCTGCATTGATGATTCTGCCCTAAGAGGCAAAAAGTCTGTAAATATCCTATAATACTGAACAAAAGAAAATATTTATAGCTTTTTTTGTATTTTCATAATAGTCACTGAGAAACATAATGCATTATATTTCTGAACTACTGCTTGGATATGATAGTGTTTTTTACTGTAAGCCATCTTACTTTTTACTGTAAGCCTTCCACATGTAATAATTGGACGGGTTAGAAATACCTAAATAAATACATACATACCAAATCAAAGCAAACTGGCTCAAATTCAATCCAAGCAGAAACAGGCTGTTTTCCAAAGCAGTGAATCAAAAGAGGCAGGGGATTCGTGTACATCCCCAGCGGATGCCAACAATGCCTGTTCCTGGGCCCAACAGCCCTATGGATGGCAGCAATATTTTCAGCAGAGTGAATGAGAGCCAGTGCGGTGTAGTGGTTAAGAGCATGGGACTGGGACTCAGACGATCTGGGTTCCAGTCCCCGCTCAGCCATGGAGCCAACTGGGTGACTTTGGACCAGTCACAGACTCTCAGCCCAACCCACCTCACAGGGTTGTTGTTGCGGGGATAAGATGGAGGAGGAGACTGATGTAAGCTGCCTTGAGCCCGTTGTAGGAAAAAGGCAGGATATAAATCGAATAAATAAATAAATGATTGTCACAGCAGTTAACAACACATCTGAACAGTGACCTGCAGTCACACCTGTGCACACCTAGTCTTTGCAATCAACATCGTACATTTAACCATGTTGGTCCCCTTCCGTCTTGCACAGCAGCCAGAAACCCACACAGTGATAATTCAATAAGCACATATACAACTCTGCTCATATGATAGAAGATTTTCCTGTACCACACTGTTTATTGGTTGTTTGCAGATTTACAGGGAATCAAAGAAATAGACTTTCCTTCATCTCACAACAGCTTCTCCAGATTCCTGAAAATGCTAACAGAGAGTCAATAGACCCTGCTGAATGGAGTAAGCTGTAGTTTGGGGAGATTCCGCCCCCCCCCCAAAAAAAAAGACATGGAAGAGCTCTCTGATGGAGGGCAGATCCACATTCCAACCCAATGAGCCTATAATAGTTTTAAGGCCTCTTGCTACTAGCAGCAAATAGCCAGAGGAGCTTTGGAAGCAACCAAGTTGTTCCATTGTGATCCATTATCCTATTACAAGCCCTTGTAAGAAAACAAAGACCCAACTTAAGCTTATTCAAAACAAAACAAAACCTTAAAACAGAGAGAGAACTATGAAATCTAAATATTCTGTCAAGAATCCACTAACAAGCACCTTCAAGATCCAAAAATAGAATAGGTCATTCTCACCATATGGATTTTTACTTATTTATTCTGTACAAATATAACCCAACTTCTGCACCAAGTGGTCAAATTAGTGAAAGGTTGCATGTTTTTATTTTTATTGTATGATATATTTTCTGCTTTTTATAGCCTTGAAGCTCCATCATATGGACATTTATCTCAAAGAGGCTTCCTCTGGCTTTTGAGAATTCACATTGGCTATATTTCCAAGCTTATTTGCTGAACTCTAAGACCAGAAACTTGTCTTTTTAAAACACTGGAAGTTTTCCTCCCCTGGATTTGCATTCTATACCTAACTCTCAGTTGCAAAGTCATGCAGTGCAATGATAAAAGTGTGGAATACACTGAAATTTTCCTATGGACCTGAGTTCTGTAAGAGTCATCTTCCATTAACATTGGATAGATTACCATTCTTGTCTTCCACATGGGGGAAAAAGCCATGAAGGACGGAAAGAAAGACAGCAAAGAAGAAAACATTGAGAGATACTCACAGGGAAATTTTGAAGAAAGGGAGAACAAATGTCATGGAGAAAGAGCACAAGAACACTGGCAAGTCACCACACCCGGGTTAAGGCCTGCAGATTGATGTATGTTAGATGTATTTCACTATAAATACATCAGGGCAGGGAAGGAGAGCAGACCTGTGAGTCATCCCCCTTCTGCCCCTGCCCTGTCTCCATTACCTTCTCTGCCGACTGTGATGTCCCAAAGAAGATGGGAATGAAGGCTAACCAGACGATGCAGGTAGTGTACATGGTGAACCCAATGGGCTTGGCTTCATTAAAGGTCTCAGGAACCCCACGGGTCTTTATAGCATACACAGTGCAGGTCACCATGAGCAGCATGCTGTACCCAAGCAAACAGATGAGGGACAGGTCAGAAATGTCACACTTGAGGACTCCCCGGGCAAAGCGGGGGTCTGTAGTCCGCTGGTCCTCATAGTCGATGATGGAGTGTGAGGGGTCCACAATGAACCAAATGCAGACCCCCAGGAGCTGCAGGGAGATGAGGCTGAAGGTGATGACCAGCTGGGAAGCAGGGCTGATGAAGCGCGGGGCACTGACTGACTTTTTGCCCTGCTCAAAGATGCGGTAGATGCGGTTGGTTTTGGTCAGCAAGGCAGCATAGCTGATGCTCATGCCCAGCCCCAGGAAGACACGCCTCAGGGAGCAGGTGCCCAAGTCGGGCTCAGCAATCATCAGGAAGGTGGTGGCATAGCAGAGGAAGATGCCTGTCAGCAGCACATAGCTGAGCTCCCGCCCCGAGGCCTTGACGATGGGCGTGTCGTTGTAGCGCACAAACGTCACCACCACAAAGAGGGTGGCGATGATGCCCACAATGGCAATGAAAACGGGCACCACAGCCCATGGGGAGCTCCACTCCAGCTTGACGATGGGGATGGGGATGCAGGCTGTATGGTTCTCGTTGGGGCGCTCGCTAAGGCGGCACACCTTGCAGTGGAACTCATCCTGCTGATACTGGTACCCGTCGCAGCGCTCACAGTGCCAGCAGCATGGGATGCCCTTCACCAGCTTCTTCCTCTCGCCCGGCCTGCAGGGTTGGCTGCAGATCGAAGTGGGCACCCGGTTGCCTCCTCCAGGCCAATGTAGCCGCTCCATCTGAAATGGAGATAAAGCAAGGCTCTCACTAGCCAACAGGAACCAGCATAGCAGGGGACAGGTTGCAACAAGGGCTGGACGGGTGTGTCCCACCAAGACTGCAAAAGCACCGGCTTTAATTTGTAGCGCACCAGCTATGCTCGTTACTCCCACCAGCCCAGAACCAGCCCCTGATGACCGCACCTTGCAGATCTTCAGCATCACTCTGCCTTGAGCCCTACTAATTCAAGCCTGCACCCTTCTTATTCCTAAACTTCTTAAGTGTGCAGAAAATGTCCTGAAACTTCCAGCATTCTGCAGCCAGCCTTGCTGGCTGGGAAATTATAAGAATTATAGCACTTTTTTCTGTCTGAACACACATAGGATTTCACCCTCAATATAGCTGTTTTACTGGAACTTGTCATTTTAAAAATTGTAGCTGTTTTTAAATCATTTCAACTCTTTATATTTCAGCAACTGCAGTAAATCAGCCTGAGGTTGGCTTTTTTTTTAAAGGGAGCTGTGTAATAAATTGAGTAGTACTAACAGTGCTAGCATTTGATGCAATACCAACCTGTTAAAACAGTCTTCCCCAGCCTGGTGTCGGACTGGAAACCCAATACTTCCCAGCCGGCATGGCAGCACACACTTGTTGCAAGTGCTTTCGTTAATCAGCTGAACCTCCCAAGCTTTTCTGGCTGAGCATCCTGTCACTCTTCACTGCTCCTGTGCTGCCTAATCCATTGCCTCCACAGCTCTCTGTAGTTCTTGCTGGCCTGCTAGACCACTCAACCCACTTGGTCATCCTCAGTTAATGTTTTGCATTTTTCAGGGTATACACAGCCAACCCTGAATATCTTTATACCAGTGCTGAAATTGTTTTTTGTCCCAATTCAGAGTTTCACATTTTATTGTCTGATTCCACTTGCTGAATGTCATATTTTGTTGTCAGGATTCAACGCTCTGGAAGACTCATCAGCCAAGGTTATGCACTTCTGTCCCACTGAATTCAGTGGGAGTGCTAAAAGAGGCACTAAATAAATAAAGTCTCTCCCATTGAAATTGCAACCTTAAATCTTAAGTTCCTTTGGATGAATTGCTAATAACATTGGCATCAACTTGCCAAAGGCAATATTTTGCAACCACTCTGCTCTAAAAAACCAACTGCAATTGCTGCCCATGGTTTGAACTGGACTGCTGTACTAAATGAGATTAGAGAGAAACCAGTGAAAAACAAGTTTTAAAATCTCATTCTGTTTGATCCCTTTGATATCTATATACAGATAATACTCATCAAGAATAAGCCCATTTTGACCAGGACACTAGATATTTGAGTCTTTCAGAGCACAGCTTGGTTTCCTAATTAAAACACTGGGAGCTTCAGGAAGAAAGCAGATGTTAAGGCTTATGTCCTTCAGTCATGTACAGATAAACCCACACTCAGTATAAGATCTTGCTTACTTTTAAGTTGAGATGATCAGCCCAGTGCCCAATAACTTTATACTCAGGTGTGGCATTCTTGATCTGGTACTGGTAGATGTCATAGCGGCCTGGGGCATCTCCATTCTCATTGAATGTCACTGGGGTCCCAGCAATACCTGCAAGACACAAAGCAATTAGTTTCATGGCGATCCCAGCTAGGTTGTGCATGAAAGTGTATTTGAAGGAAAGATTTACCTGCCTCTCTCTCTCTCTCTCTCTCTCTCTCTCTCTCTTTCACACACACACACACACACACACACACACACACACACACACACACAGGGGGAGAGAGAGAGATTGAGAGAGAGAATCATTTGCAATCCTAAGTATTACCCAGCCAAAGCTAAGTATGTTTAAGTTCTAGTGATTTTGGTGTTTAGTCTAGGGATGGGCAAACATGTTGAGCTCACTTACGTCCTCTAAATTGCTCCTCAAGGCTCACAGTGCCTCATTCCCTAACTAGATGCTGTGTCATTTTAAAAAATGATCATTTTCCCTGATCGAAAATGTAAATTTCCCCCATAAGCTAACAAGTGTGAAAATGCAGAGGAGGGAAATATGCACATATGGTGAAGTACATGTTTGTGCATGTACACATTTTGGAAGAGTACACAGTTATGCAAGTGTACAATTCCAAGCATGTACACAAAGCTTAGGGAACTATAAAAAACAAAACCACCCCTGAAAATTTTGTTCCTGTTCACATTCAGGGGTGACAAATGAGATCTGTGTTCATGATTTGTAAAGAGGAATGAAATTCTCTTGCATTTCTAGTTTAGGTTTAGGTCATCAAGCTCTGCCCATAATATCAAGACGATATGCTCGCATTGGCCAAATCACAGCAAGGAGTCTTCCAGCAACTCACCAGTTAAGCCAATCATGCAAAATTGTCCAATAAGTAAAGTTAAAAGGACATTAAACTCTCCCGGCTTATTCTTTGGGATAGAAAGAATAAGCCAGGAGTCTTTCTGAATATTGCAGAAAGACTTACAACACCCATGGACACAAACCATTTCATTGATGACAAGATTTCAGATATACAAATCAATAAAGTTAACTTCCTTTTTCTGAAGTGCAGAGGTTAGCTTTGCAGCTTTTGAGTTGGAGTGGCTCTACCCCAACATGACTCTACCCCCTGCACACTTATCTGAAGTATTTGTAAGCTATATCTGTGCCTCAGGCAATTAAAAAAGAGCAGCAAACTTGCCCTTTGACTCTTGTATTGCCAAGTGAAATCCTTCTAGCCTTTCTGTCCACATGGCTATAGTCTATACAATTTGATATTTGTAGAGCGCTAAAGTCCAGAAGCCATTTGTTGTGGATCAGGCCGCCCAGCATGTTAGGTGCTGCACACTCTGAAAATCAATAGACCATTTTGACGCATGAGGCCAAGATCAACTTTGCTTTAAATTGGCTCCTAATGCCAATGGGAAGCCTGCACTGCACATGGAATTAATTTGATACCGTTTCCGAATTCCCTCTGACATTAAAGAACTGCTTTGAAAGAAGTTGCACAGAAGCTGCACAAAAAGCTGTGCTTTTTGGTAGCACTTAGGGAAAACACCTAAGTATCTGCCCCAGCAAGATTACAACTTCAGTATGAATGAGTGGCAAGGACATCCATCTTTGACTTACTGATTGAAGCAGCCTCCCACAACTTGACTCTAGATCCCCTCCTCCTCCAACAGATCCCATCCTCCCCAGACAGCTTGCCTATCATGCCTATGTGGGCTGGGGAGGATAGGTTCTGTCATCCAGCCTCTCTGGAGAGCATCAGTTTAAAAGAGGCTGAAGTATTTTCCAGCACTGTGAAAATTCAGTCAAGTTTCTTGTAGGCACCAAAGGAAGGCATGGAGAGAGGAGGGGAGGGGAGGGGAGCATAAGGTTGCTTTTGGTTATATAAGGTGCTGGGCTAGGAAGAAAGTGGGCAAAGCAAAGGACACCTGTCTTTCCCTTGTCATTTACCAATCAGTTCCTGTTATGTGCACTAAGGATGCTATGCAGATCTCCCCTCCCTCCCAATCTGCTTGCACGTTGTTGTACCCCTGCTGGATGTCCAGGCACATCTTTCCTTGCTAAGCCATTGAGCAATGAATCCATACATAGTGACAGTACATCATGATGCTACATCATTCATTCACCGAGAGCAGTAATCCCCTCTCGGTATTCAACCACGGTGCTGGAGACAGAAAATAATAACACATTTATATAGAGCCGGGTGAACGTGTGCTTCATGAAATCAAAAAGCTGAGCGCTGTGTCACAGGAAGGTGCTGAAAGAAATTGCACTGCACATACCTTCTGGCCCACCTCCGTGTGGTACTGAGCTTCCTTCCTCCCTTTCATGTCTTGCTATCTCCTCCCTGTACGCCTGCCAAGCACCGTTTCCCAAAACCTGGGCAAATACTCTTCAATCCTAGTTTCCCCGAGCCCATCACTGCCATTTTTCCTGGCCCTTCTCCTATGCCCTTTACAACAGGCTGACATAATTTAATTAATCAGCCTGAGGAATACTAGCCATAGCAAGGAGAAATTATAGGCTGTACCCTCCTTGAGACAGCAACGTGCCCTCTTATATTTTGCGATGTGCCATCTCCATGGCAAGATCAGAAACTGCAGCGGATGATGATTGAGACTGTCTGAAAAGAACATGTACAGGTTCAAAGGTCAGCCTGCTGTATCGGCTCCCGATCCTCACAGGTGTGCCCCCACACCTGAAGTGAGGGTTGCATATACCCACAGGTGGAGGCCTAGTCTGCACAACCCACTGCAGTTTTTATTTAAAAAAAAGCAGTGGTTGGATTCAGCCAAGAGTTCTCTGCTGAGAATTATAGACCACAGCAAGTGCCAGGTGTGCTTGCATGACCAGAATAGAGACCAGCTGCTCTCTTATAAGCTTTGAAGGTTGACCTGCTCATGACAACAATACCTGCAATCTCATGCAGATCCAGGTAAGCTAAAAGGCAAGCTGAGAGGCAGGACAGCTGCCTTTCCCATGCCTCTTCTGGATGCCTTTGTGGACAGCTCATTACACTTGATGTACACAGTGAGTGATGAGCATTGACGTCGCTGCCACTCATGTGCAAAGGGGACAGTCACAGAGGAGTACTGAGGGATGCAGCCCGTGAGGGAGAGCGGGAGGGAGGGAGGGAGGGAGAGGCAAGCTCTTCAGTTCAAAAGCAGTCCATGCCTGACCAGGCATTTGGACCAGCTGGTCCATGCCCAGAAATGAGTGGGAAGCCACTGAGGACAGCTTCATTTGCCCTTCCCCTTTGGCTTTCATGGAGAGCCCTCCCCAGTGCTGCCACATGCATCCATGCTAACCCAAACTGAGGCATCTCTGTCCTTATAAGTACTCTTACCTCACTAAAACCAGAAAAAAACTACAACACAGAGCAGTTCATACACCCAGCATCTCCTCTATTCTTCCCATGCCTCTCTGTCACTGTGAAAAAAGAAATTTGTCGGTAAAGCACCTTTATATTCTACGCTAATATTCAACAGATCCAAACTCAACCTCTCCCTCTGCTCCTAGCTTCTTTCTCGGACAGCAGAGCTGTCCTCCAAGGGTAGTATGCAGGCATGCTCTGTTTCCTCCACTCCCAAACACAGGAAAAGACACGACGAGCAGACTGAAAGCAGTAGAGTGTTCCCAGCAAGAGTTTCCTCACTGCCTCTTGGAGGAAAATCCAAATTATTGCCTCTATGTGGAGTTTGAAATATGTCACCACTGAAAAATTGTAGATGGTAGTCATTATAAAGTACACCAAACTTTCTTGTGCATGGCATCTATCTACCTGCTGTATTCCTGAGACAGATTCCTGTGTAATATTCCACACAATATCCCCTTCCCAATTCATCTTATCCAGTTGAAAACCAAGATTATAAGCCAATTTGTATGAATCAGGCATATTCCTGAATGCCCCGATATGCCTTAAGATCACATCTCACCAAGATGTCGCTCAGTTCTGCCCATATATTTCTCAAAAGGCTATAAGGTGCCAATGTTTCCCATATCAGAAACATCCAAAAGACCTCTTCACTGGGTAAATGTGGAAGCAGGTCTATTTCACTACTGAATTTCACTACAAACAAAAAAGATAATTAGAAGTATCCTAAAATATGCCCAGTTTAAAAGAGGTCCTATTAAAGGGAGTTACTCAGTTGGCTGGCTGCAAATGGACTTTCAACGATACTAAGAGAGACGAATGGCACACAGTTAAAGTGCACTAATCCAGAGAAGGATGTGACCAAATGAGAAGTGCTATGAATTCTTTAATTACAGTGGTTTATTTAGCAAGTTGCCACAAACTAAGGCTCTTGGTTGCTTTTTTTTCTCCCAAAAGTTTATCTTACAACAAAATCAAATGAATTGCATAAATAAATCCAAATAACATTAGAAAGCAAAAACATCCAACACGAGAGGGAGAGAATAAATAAAGAAGACAGATTGTGAGGAGATTGCAAAAGGAGAGATAAGTAGATGCAATAAGAAAATAGGAGCAGAAGATGTATATTAAAGAGATATAATGTGAGGAAGCAATGATTTTCTAGAAGATGTAAAGTAATTGCTAATTGAGGAGAGGAAACGTTTTCTGCCAAACAAGGACAAGAAAAAATGGAAAGAGAATAAGGAAATGAGAGCTATTAACATGGGATTGTTCATGTGGGTAGAATCATGATGGGATTTTAGGTTTGGTCGGTTTTTGCCACATCCTCCCTGGCAGTCCAAATAGAGTGGGTGAAAACACACCCAGGTACTGAGAAGTGAAGACAAAGAAATTGCATCTCATCCCCATCCAACTGCCTAGATTGATTCCTTCAGTCACCTGGGGCCTCTGTGTATCACCTTGGGAAAGGTGAGCTTCCCTAACATGTGTTTGTAGTCAGCACAGCATGGAGGGAGATAAATTCCTGAAAATATTCAGTAAAAAGGCATCTGAAAGCACAGACCAGTCATGATCCCCAGGCCTTTATTTATCATGAACTATCAAGTATTCATGTTCCCTCCAGAGAATACAGTAACCCCTGTAGAGAAGACAGAAAGGGAAGTCCTGTTTTTCCCGCAATGCACAACCCGCAGTTCGTTTGAAGAGGTTTTGTGCCTTTGATATTGTTAGTCTTGCTGAAGTTAATGGAACTTAGTGCTAACTCATTTCAGTTCCATTAATATCTACTCTGATTTAGTCTGGACTGAAACCTGCAAGTGTTCAGTTGCACCCTATCATTGTCCTTCTACTGTAAGCTACACTTGGTTTTGCAGTTGATTCTCCACATTTTAGTGAGTCTAGTGCTTTGTGTGTACATCCCACATTTTATCCACACAGATGGACATCACATAGCCATATGGACAAGGAATGACAATGCATCTGAGCACTTGAACAGCAAATTTATCTTTTAGGCGTCTCTTAAATTTGTTCCAAAATGCTGTTCTGCATTTAAAAGCTTTTGAGAAAAAACCTGTTTAAAAATTGGAAAAAAGTATTAAAATAAAATGGATTAACACACAAGCATTTCTAATATAGTGTTATCTGGAAATGTAATAGTAAAAGTGTGTTGAAGTGAAAAGGCAGGGTGATAGCATTCTATTGCCCGAAATGTCACTGCACACATCAAAACTCCCTATCTTCAAAAAGAGCCGAAGGTGGACTTTACCTATCAAGATTGTGCTGGTGTTCCATTCTAGCCACCACCATCTCAAACATGGGAGATGGATTTTGTAAGCTTCCAAATGAAATGGAAAAGGAATGGGGGAAACACGGGAAAAGCATATGATGACAGAGTTGGGACAAGCCCTAGCAGAATCTGTCCCTGCAGTATTCATGGACTTCCTCTCATGATCAGCCCGGTCTTGCAAAGAAAGGCAAGCAGAAAGGAAGTCCATGAACATTTGCACAACTGGCAACCTTGTTCTGCATCATGTGCAGCAGCCCAACTGGCTGCTACATGTGGCACAGAAGAGGGATGCTGCTAGCAGTTGCACAGGGTGGTCCAGGAACAGTGGGTGCGGTGGATTCCTGGTGAGCACCCACAAGCTCTAGGCTCACCAGGCATGTGGACTCAGAGTCCAGGCAGCTGAGCTCAAGGAATCTGACAGATCTCCATTCCCACGTGGCTTCCTAATGGCAGTATAATGTGGATAACCCAGAACAGTACAATGCTAAACATGCCCCTGAGGCAGTTGATGCTGGTGTGTCCATGGTGGAATTCCAAGACAGGGAGGGAAGGAAGGAAGGAAGGAAGGAAGGAAGGAAGGGTGGGTCCCATTTTGTTGGACAGAGGATACAGAACCATACAAAGAGCTGCAAACGAGGCACTTGATATTCATTCAGCTGTGTTTATAATTACAGCAGGGAGGGCATGTTATCATGCCCCCAAAAGCCCAAAGAAACCCCAACACGAGCCCTTAGCTAGGTGTAGTCTACCCCTGAGGGAGATCCCAGCCAGATGGACAGACCTGAGAAATTGACGCTGCGAATGTACTTGAGCAGCTCTGCACCATCGACTGGGTCCATCTTGGGGCAAAGGCCAATCTTCCCCGGGCACAAGTTCTTGTGCATATTATGCAGTGCGTGGCCCATGGCATAGACAGCATCGATGACAAACTGCACCTTTCCCTCCTGCTCATAGGCAGAGTCCTGGCCAATCCGTTCACGATCTGGAACACAAAAAAGATACCGTGCAGGGTTCTGTCATATGCTTCCAATGGCAGCTGCAAATTGAAAGGCTTCTCTGTTTCCTTCAACTACCTGATATTTCCTGCAATTGCTGAATATCATGCCACTATCCGTGGTATTGCTACATGCCCTTTAGAAGGCCTTGTTTCTCTTGCACAGTGTCCATTGAGGCCTTCCTGGGCCCACTGAGGGAAGGCATGCACACAACGTGGAGGAGAAAACAGAATGCATTAAGCCATGGGAGAGAAACATTAAAGCACTGGTACATTTGCTTCACTTGAAGTTGTGGGGGAAAACATCTTTAGAGACCACTGGGACCAGAATGGTTATTAAAGAGCTGAACTGAGTGGCTGCTGGTAAAAGGACTGCTGAACCCACAGAAGCAGTGTTTATGGTGACTTTGTAGGTGCCTTCAATACAGAGCAGGCTTTTGGGTGAAGCTTTACAGGAATGGTAAATGTACAGTCCTCACTGTTGTTATCTCCCTTCTGTAGGGAGCAATGAACCTCACTGTGGTTTCTCAGTTTCTTACTTTTCTAATCTTAACTTCAGGTTGTACCATTTCCACATCAATCTGATGTGCGCCTTTATTTCTAAAAACCTGCAGGAATCTGGACACTCTTGAAAACATTTCTTTTGGGTGCATAGTGTCTCTAATATATGCATTCCTGCAGGCATTTTTTCTTAACACATAGCTAGACAACTTTTGGTCCCCCAAATGATGTTAGGCTGCAGCTCCTATCATCCCTCGCCATTGACTCTGCTGGCTGGGGCTGAAGTGGCCTTCTCTTGCCCTATTTGGATACATCTGTGATACATTTCAGTGTTTCTGACCATCTGAAAGTTTCTATTCACATCTGAGAAGCCACCTTCAAAGCCTCTCCATCAAACAGGAAAGACAGGGACTGAAAGAATGGGGACACTGGAGGTGGGGCATGTGTCTATCCCCACATCTCCTCTCCACTTTCAGGCCCCACGTGAGCCAACAAAATGTCTGCGTGTCTCCCATTAGATGTGTTTGCACAACCAAAGGGACAGTACACTGCACACTTTTCCTGAACTTCCAGACTTGCACACTCCAGTCACGGCTTCAGCTGTAGCATATGCAAATATTATTCAGCCTCTGGCATCATCCATCTCCTCACCGGTTGCTCTAGCATCAAATCAAACAGGCACTATCAAGTGTGTCAAAGGATGGTCTGTACAACATCCATCAGTTCCAGGATGTGCTCTGTGAAGTCCTTGCTGCTGCCAGACACAGTTCCAGTTTTATTTCCATCCCGATTTCCCCCACCCACCCTCGCCCCTGCCCCCTCTCCAGCCAATGCCAGATTACAGGATCATTCAAGTATATGCTAATTACCCATGACAGCTGCCTGCCTCTTCCTGTCATAACTGTTCTTAATGGGACTTGAAACATGTTAATCATTCAGCAAAAGATACCGATTAACGTAGCATGCTGTTAATTAGAGCTCAGAGAGGGTTCCCTGTGGAATGGTGCAGCATGGTCCCTCAAGAGTAACAGCCAGTACTTCTTCACCAGATTCAGCCTCCAAATACCGTCCTCTCCCCAGCAGCGAGCAAAGAGTGCTTACAAATTTCTCGTGTGTAAAGGTATGCAAAGATCCTGCCAGAATGCAGCTCTCTTGCACTCACCAGACTTCCTTCCTGTACTCAGTCCAGGACCTGGCAGCAAACTGAGCTGAGATCGAGTCTGTGAATGCTCAGGAACACGAGCAGACCCCTTCTTTGCACAAGGCACACAAGTCGTTTGTGAAGAAGCAGAACTCTGCCTGCATGCTGATCTTGCAGGCAGTGTGTGGCATGTGTGCCAGCTAGGTCCACTTCCTGATGGATGCTCATGTGAATGCTCTCTGCAAGGTGGATTAGGGCAGAGAGAAAGTGGGCCAGAGTCTGGGGAACCAAGCCAAGGAAACACAATGGATGCCCACTTTCAGAGCACTACTTTACGCATAGTATCCCTGTGTACAAAATTGCAGCTTTTGCCTCAAATTGCACACAGGCCATTGTGGAAAAAACTGGCCCTTATTCACATTGTGGGATGGGATTTGGTGCAATCTATAAAATGGTGATGTTCAAAGGATCACATCTCATGAAACTGCCTTACTGAGTTAGACCATTCTCCACTTGGGCCGCTACTGCTTTCTGTGACGGGTGCCAATTCCCCAGTGGCTCAAGTCAGAGTCTTTCCCAGCCTGGCTACCCAGAGGGATGTGTAAGAAATTTCTTTCAGATCATATTTTATCAGGATGTGCCTACTTCAGACCTTATGGACTGAACACAGAATGCAGTTGAAGTCCTGCCATTTCTAAGACCACAGTCTGAATCACAGACAAAAACCATTATTTGTGTTCAGTGTCAGTTAGTACAATGACCCATGCTCAAGAGTTGAATATGGGTTGAGGGTGGGTTGTTGTGAAACATGGATGATCATGCTGTCTGGACACAGCTGCATTAACAAGCCAGAAACCACCCTTGAAATACAAACAACCCATGAAAGGAAGCCATGGCTTGCTGTCAGGATGTAGAGTCTGGCTGTTCACCGTGGCTCATTATCTCAGATGGGTCCAGACATATAACCTATCTTTAACAACCCACAGTTCAATTAAAATCCACACAGAACCCTTGTTCAACCCTTAAGCATGGGTTATCACATTGTCTAAACCCAGTGATCATTGCCATACAATTGACAAATGTTCTGCATGCATAAGCTGTATTCAACAGGCAAAGAACATCTACATTTCAAAGATGCACTTTACAAGGGATATGCCAATGCTGTAAAATTTGACTTCTTTGAGCTCAATAGATTTCCTTTGTGCTTCTTGTCTGATGACTGAAAGCAGGCTAAATTGTTTTGCTTTGTTGCACAAACATCTGTCTCCAAAACAGACCACAAATTGCACATTTTTTAAAAAGGAGATGCTATGTAAATTTTTACAAACCATGTGATTTTTTTCCTTATTGGATTAGTATGATTTTCACAAATTGTGCAAAAGTCAAAATTGGAAAACTATCTCATTGTAGTGCTATTTGCACAAATCATACTATGCGTAGATTGACATAACATTTGGTTTGGCTTCCAATTTGCTCAAACCATGCAATTTGCAGCAATTATGCTTGTCAAATTTGTGCAAATCTCCTTAGCTTTTTTAAGTGTACAAATCATGTCACAGCTTTAAGGCAGGTGTCTGAGAACTGGTTTGATTCACACATGAGGCTGATGAATCAGAGTTCAAGAGGCTGAATTGTGAAAATCTATCAAATTGTCACACACCCATACCCCACTGGATTCTTCACATTTTCTTAACATTTGGAAAAGTACGTTTGAAAACACTTGTGGGTTTTCCTATTTTAAAAAGCAAGACTTACAAACTGAAAAGGATGTGAGTCAAAATGAACTTTTGAGATAGAATTTGGAGAAATTCACGTGAGCTTGAGTTTTGCTGATTTGAACATCCGTAGGTATTAGATATACTTTAGATATACTGAAGAAGGCATGGTCATATGTTATCACAGAGCTATGGCCATTCCCCATGTGGATTTTGTATTTGAGAATTGGTTCCCAAGTACAAGATCTGACCCTCCTGATGTCGTGACATGTCGAACTATTTCAGATCAGCTGCAGTTCATGCAGCATGCGCTCACATTGGATAAAGTGTCTCACCATTTATCACCAGCTGCAATCTCAAATGTTGACTTATTTCCCCCTCACCCTGCACCTCCAGCCCATTTCTTCTTCAGCCAATAGTACACTCAGTGAGCTTCCTCCCCTACCTGGCATGCTCCTTCTATCAATAGTAGATAGATTTACACTAATCATACAAAGCCTTGTAACCTTGTATATCCCTAAGATTACTATACATGATGATAGTGTGTTGGAGGAAGAGAGAACCCTATGGTTAAGAAAAATGGAGGCAGGGAAATGAAAATACAGCCATTAAATGGTTTCAGTTATGTTAATATTATTGACCTTTTTGCTGTCATCAACCAGTTACTGTAATATTTTTTTAATTTTGTGATTCATTCGTTCATGTTGCATCAAGTAAAAATTAAACGTATACCCCCCATCTCTTTTTGTTTTAAAGTTTATTCATTATTTTAATTATAAAGTTTCTCATCATCTTGACAAAATCATAACTGCATATTTCTAAACCTTTCCTACTCTCTTCTTTACCCTGTTACCTTCCAGATAAGTTGCACTGCAATTCCCAAACATCCCCAAGTAGCAAAGCCATGTTGGTGGGACAGATAGGAATTGCAATCCACAACATCTAGAGGGCACTGGGTTACCTACCAGTGCTATGCAACTATGTCAAATCTTGCATGGTGAATGGCTCCTGGGATTCTGCATGTTTCAGAAGAGTAGCTGTGCTAATCTGATACAGAAAGCATCCAAGATACTTAGGGAATGGTTCTTTGCCTCCTAGATACTGCCTGAGGAGCCACAGAATAGTTTTGGAGTCTCCATTAGAGCGATCCCCTTCCCCACTGCACCTGGTGTGGAAAGAACTGTACCAGCTGCTTTCTAAGGCTAGGAAAGCAGCCCAAAAGGCGGCTAGGTGAGGCTGCTTTGGGGCCGGAACAGAAACTGGGGTGGCCAAGATACACTCTGTCCTGAAGTCTCTGCTGTCTCCTTCCCTACCCCGCTGAGTTGCTACTGCTACATAGCCAAAACCAGTCATCCAGCAACATGCAGAGTGAGAGGACTGAGGTGGCAAAGCTCACCGCCACTGCTCCACCCACTCTGCAATGGGTGGGTGGGAGTCACAGGTTCAGGGGCTTATGCTCAACTCTGGAGGGCTGCACCCTTCATAGGCAACAGTTATACTTGCACAGTCATCCATTTTACTGACCTGCAAGCTATTCAAAGAGGACCCTGAATGGCAACCTTAAAATACTTAATGCTGAAACATATGGGGCATATATCTGATATGGTTTAGACTGGGGTTACAAGACGGGC